AAAAGGTATATAAAGTATTTTGTTATTTAGCAGTTAGGATAATATTAATTATTATATTGTAACAATAGTTCAAAAAAGAAATCTAACAATTCAAGTTGGAATAGGAAGTTAGTTAATAAAAGAAAGTATTAAAAAATACTTACAACATTGTTGTGATTATAATAATCATAAAGAAAATAAAGAAAATTACGATGATGATAATGATGATGATAACTAACTTCACACTCCCAAAAAAGAAAAAAAAAATAGTATGAATTATATAGCTAACTTTTTACAAAAAAAAATAATATAAATTTATTAATCAATTGATCTTTATTATTATTTTATTTTAGATGATGTTCCGATTCCTCCTGCTTCACCATCATCACCACCACATTTTCATTTAATTTATGATGAAAATTTGGGTAATTTTATTGGTTTTTTTAAAAAAAAAATAAAAGATAAAATATTTGAATTTAATTTATCGTTATTTCTTTTTTTTTTCTTTTTTTATAATTATTATAAAAGATAACGATGACACCACTACTACCAATGTTGTTGCTGACACCACCATTATCACCAAAGTTGCTGCTGCTGCTGCTACCTCCAAGTTGCCACCTCTAAAGTTGCCGCCTCCAAAGTTACCACTGCCTTCAAAGTTGCTGCTACTATCTCTAAAGTTGCCGCTGCCTCCAAAGTTACTGCTACCTCCACCTCCACTACCACTACCAAAGTTGCCGCCATCAAAGCTGCCACCAATATTTCAAAAAAAAGTAATTTTGATATTTATTTTAATATTACATTATGAAATAATATATATAATATAATATAATATAATAATAATTTAGGAAAATTAAGAAATCAGAAGATTTATTGTTCTGATTTAGAAGAATCGGGTAAATATTTTATATTTTATATTTAAATTTTAATTTTTAAATTGTAAAACTCTTATTTACTTATTTAATATTATAATTAATTAATTTGTATAGAATAAATGAAATTTATTTTAAAAATTGCAATCAAAATTACATATATAATTTAATATTTATATGTTAAAATGCAATCAAAAATAACGTATACAATATACTAATTTAACGTATAAAATTTAACAAAAATTACGTATACATTATACTGATTAAACGTAAATATTCAGTATTTTTTTGCATACGGAAAAAGATGATTTTCAGTATCTAGTAAATGGAAATATTTACGAATTTATTATACTGTTTTCTACGTTTATTATACGTTTTTTAAACGTATTATTTCTGTATACATTCCTTATACATATTATTTATAGGAAATCAGACAAAAAACATAGTGATAAAAGTTTATTAAGAAATACAAAAGGTAATAATAACTATTACATTATTATATTAATAAACATTAATACACATTGAATGTTTTATTTTAGTTACAAGAGACGCAAGAGAAGCAAGAGGAAAAAGAAGCACAATACATATAAGAGGCTTAAAAAGAAGTAAACGTGTTAAAGAATATTCTTGTAAAACATATGCTAGAGTAGAAGAAGAAGGAGAAGAAGAAGATGATGATGATGAAGATGAAGTTTTGAATTCTTCTTATTAATCTACCTCTATTACTTCACAATTGTCTTCAACTTAACAATATACCACTCAACAATCATTATCATCCTAACAATTAGCCATATTACTGATAATTATCGATCCAATTGACAGTAGAGAAATTACCATTTGGAGTTGATCTCACACATCAATAATAACTTCAGATATCATGTCGCCTACACTTACTAAGAGACAACAAAGTCGACGCTCAACACTTTTAGTTAAATCGTTTATAGTTGAACCCACCCTAAGTTAACATTCAATCCCAATGGTCAGATGAATTTCATCTGATAATCGTAAACCTCTTAATAATATTGAGGCAATGTTAATAAAATAAGGCAAACAAATTCGTATTTTATACGATTGCAAAAAATATCACTTGAAAGAATTTTATGGCTTTAGACTTATGTAAAAAAACTAAACAGTGAAAAAAATAATGAGCTTAGTTTAAAAGTATTTAACGTGAGTAATAATTTAGTTTGTATTATATTATCACATTTAGATATCTAACATCATAAGTTATTTATCATTATATTATATAGGATGGATATAGCAAAGTATGCACTGAATTTTTTCCAAATAACATGTGGCTAAAGTTCAAGGAATATAAATTATTATTGGAAAAATGGTTAAATTCGAGTTATCTGAATTATATTCATGAATTAGGTGAACGAGAATAAATCAACACCTTTAACAGAAAACATTATTCTCTGATAATTATTGTCAATTAATTATTAATTTTTAAATATTTAGTTTTAATTTTATTTTATGATAATTTATGCGAAAATAAAAGACATGAGAGGAAGTCATATCTTAGTAATCTGAACTGCTATTTTCAGAATATTTGGACTGCAATTGATGAGTAATAGACGTAAAAACTCAAGAGATATCCTAGAATGAAACAATCCAGAAAAGTAAAAGAAAGTTATAATAAATTGTTCACTAAAAGTATCATGATAAAGAATATCACTAGTTCTGTATTTCTATCATTAGATGGTGCTAGCGATGAAAGATTTAATGATATTTACATTTATATCGCATCTGTATGTAATATATTATAAAATCTGAATTATCCTACTCTCAAAGTTTTCAAGAAATTGCTGGAATTGTGTTTAAAAAGATTTAGGGTATTTATCAAATTCATTTTATTATTTAAAAATTAATTTTATTAATCAAAGTCAAAATTAGAAAGCAATCGATAAAAACAGTCAAATTAAGCTTAGCTATTTAACATCGATCTTACATGAAGAAGTGCCCGATATTTCTAGCAGAAATAAATCTACCGATGACAATGAAGATAAAGAAGATCTACCTGAAGACAAAATGATGTTTAACAATATAAGTTTTAAAACATACAATAAATTATTTGATTAATAATGGTAATTATTTTAATTAGTTCTGTTTCTTTTATTTCTGAATTAAGATTTAAGTTTAATGTCATTCATTTTAATTTTTCAATTTCATTACTTTTTGATTTAGATTTCTGTTTTTAATTTTATGTTTTCGTTACTTTTTGATTTAAGTTTCCATTTATAATCATTGTGAAAAAACAATTATGTTTATTATTTTTTTTATTTTATCACTCGCTTATTTTTTCGCTTATTTTTACTGCTTATTTTTTCTTATTTTTATCGCTTTAACTTTTCTTTGAATTATTTTATATAATATTTTATACAATAAAATAAATACAAAGAATATTTATCCTTTATAAAACAATATGTTTATCGTTCAGGTTATTTATTGTTAGTATATTTATTGGTGATTATCAAATTTGATGTTTATTATTTAAATATTTATTGATATTTATCGAACAGGTTAAAATCTGATATTTTATCACTATTTATTCACATCGATATCGCTTGACAAATGCGATTATTATCAATATATATTATATATTATAATTAATGTGATAAATAATGATAAAGAGATATATATTATTATAAATCACCCAAAAAAATTTCCTAATGTGGGTAATTCATTTACTATTTTTTATCAGAATAAATAATTTAATCTGGCATTCTTTTAATTTTTTGGATTTTTTTCAACTTTGAATTACTGTCAGACTTGTATTTGTATTAATTGGTTGTAGCTAGAGTTGGTAAAGTCCTAATTGGTTCTAATTGGTCTTAAATTAAATATATTTATTATTTTAAAGAATTTTTTTATTTTAAATTAATAAAATAATTGATATATAATAATTATTAAAAAGATTAATTTATTATTAAAAAATTTAGGATAGTTTATCAATATATATTATTCTATAATTTCTCATAATTCTTCTTGTATTATATATATCAATTTAGATAGTTTCTCTTTTAATCAGATTCTATAATAAAATAAATTAAAAATAAAATATGATAATATAGATTTTAGATTTAATATATAATGCACATCGGTTTTTTTTAATGATAATTAATATAAAACTGCAATAATATAAAACAATTTCTTACTTTTTTAAAAGTTTTATCAAAGCCTAAATACTTTGTACAATCTTCTTCCAATTTTATGCTTTTTTTCTTCAGTTTTTTTGATCTGCTATTAATGTATCAAGTTTGGTATTAAGCCTTGTGTTTTGATTTAATATTTTTTCTAACATTTTTATCAAAATTTTATATAAATAAAATAAAACTTTTTTAAAAAAAATCTATATATATGACTTTAAAACAAACTCAAATTTAATATTTTTATATACTTTTAACAGCTAACCCATTGATATTATTATTATTAGAACTCAAGTTTTTTGTTCTTTTGCTTAGTCTAGCTTATTTTTAAGTTTGTTGATTTGATACTTTCTTTCTATACATTTTAAATTTTTGAGCAATAATGAAAAATAAAATAAAATAAAATTAGATTTTATATTATATATTAAATAATACTTTACTAAATAAAATCAAAGGCGGCTTATTACCATTAAATTTTTTTTTAACATCAATACAATTAGTTTAATATATGATTATGATAAAAAATTACAAACTTATTTTTCTTGATCAGCAACTGATGGATTCTCTTTACTCTTCTGGGCTAAAATAATTAGCTATTCTTGCTATTTTATCATTTCACTTCCTATTCCTAAACTTCCTAAAATTTATACATTAGTTTCTTTTTTAGCCTTAGATAATTCTAATAATAATATAATTAAAAATTTTTTTAGACTAGCTTCTAATAATTTATTTTTTTCTTCAAATTTAGATGTAGATATTAATAATAAAAAAGAGAATTTGTGTCAGTTTTTCATGCTCAATTAAATCAATCAATTACTAGAAGAGTCCTAAGAAAATACCCTGCTGATAATTCATTGACTTATCAACACTTAGTCCTTGCTTCTAAAAATAAACAAATTCTTTCTCAACATATGAAATGTTCTATTGTCTCTTGTAACAATTGTGATATAAATAATCTATAACTCTTGGATTTCTTTAGACGACTTCAATTTAAAAAAGGCAGCCTTCCTTTAAAATCAGTTACATATGTTGTTAGCTGTAAAATTAACATTATTATAAGATCATCAAAATTGATTTACAAATTATTATTTGACTTAATTGACAAATATGACAAATTGGTCATATTTGACTGATCTACCATATTTATCATATTTATCATATTTGTCAGATTTGTCATATTTGTTATATTTATCTTATTTATTATATCG